CGAAGCGTTCCCCTTGCATGCCCAACGAGTTTAAAGTAAAAACTTTTTTTTTTCGGGCCACATAGTGCTCCAAGTGCGTCTTAAGGTTACTTGTTTCCGTAGTAAGCCTCTAATTTCTTGCTAAGCCCCTAAGTTCTTTGAAGATTCAGTCATCCATACTTGTTTCTGTGTGTTATTTCGTCGGGAACAACTATCCTTTAACATAGAACTAACGTAGCATTTACATAACGTATCAAAGCCACTTGATCTTTAAGTGGGCACTATCAGAAAAGAGCATGTTTCCGCCATCTTGGCAGTGGCAAAAGGTGGCTTCACTTCTGCTGGCAAGGCATTGCAGGAGCTTCCACTCCAGCACTTTTCCTTTAATCCTCCTTGTGCAGCAGCCGTGAACGTTGACCGTGACGTCCGTGACGATGTTTTCACGGCTCATTGACCCGGCGCCGCCGATGGCCGGGCGACGATCGTGGGAACCAAGGGAAGCGGGCGCGCCCTATATCGCTCCAATCTCGCATCGCGCGCATATTAACGAACTGGCTGCCCATCGAAGGACTACGTTTCATCTGTGAACCTTACGAAGGAGGCGATCGCGGCGCCGCTGTGTCGGCGCCGTTATTTATAAACATCTGCTCCGCGCAGGGAGCGAGATAAGGGAAGGAGGACGAGGAACGGCAAGGGCGGCCGACGCACGCTTATAATTGAAGGCCGAGACGTAGTGCTCGTCTATAAAAAAAAGGATGGTTCCAACGCTATACACCGTGCTAAGTGATGAAAATCAGTGCTATATAGGAAAAAAATTGGGCGTGAAGTGTTGGAACAGCTGGGGAGGAGGAGGATACGAAAGAATAAATGGAAAGGATAGTACGCCTTCTCGAAATATGAACATACCATCGAAACCCTGCGGATCAGTGTGCTACGCGGTTGAGATGTTCTTACTGGAGAGAGTATCACTGTGCCACCGACCCCCCCCCCCCCCCCCCCAGCTCCTCTTTTCTGCAAGTACACATCACTCTTCTACGGGGAACCTCTCTCCCACTTGGAAATTACCGGTGGGTGCCCAGTGGCACCTGAGTCGAATCCTATGCCTTTCGCATCGGAGGTATGCGCTCAATCTACTACCTACGGTGAATGGCTATGGGAAAGAGGAAGGAAGAACAAGAGAGAAGGTAAAAGGTTGACCAGGCTCATGCCTGGTTCGACGATTGCTAACGGAGATACCCTCGCCATTTACTTCGGCTAGCGTCAGGGAGAGGCGTACCTTCCCTGCTGTTTTCTCGTGTAGCGAGGGAGTGCTCGTTTCGGAATCACCGAGCACCCTATATGCCGCTTTTATTTCGTCTGCTATTTCGCTTTGCGCTGTATTTCCCGCGGCGGCACAACGCCTTACGTATTGAATGATGAATCGATGTCACATGCCATGGTCGTTAACTTATACGTGTGAGGCTTTGCGACTCTACGTGCGAAGCTCTTTCCACAAGGGTGCCCCTCTTTTGTGCGCGAAATTTCGACTTTCCATGCGCAGCGGTCGTTGTTTGTTATGGTCGAACCTGGTGGCGTTCCTTTTTGAATTTTGTTTGAAGTTTATTCGCAATCGAAAACATACAACATTGAATTATCAAGTGGCTGAATGGGAAGGGGTGATGAAAATACAACTGAATCTCTAGTAGAGCACCGACCCCTGCCCTGGCCACAATAATGCACAACGCTCAGTAATTAAGTATACATATATATATAAAGCACAAAATATGTAAGTGTGAACGCATAGGAACAATATCCTGTGAAAATACAATATCTACAGAAACTCAAAACGTAATCACATAAATTCAATACATCGAAAAATAATGAAGTGCAAGTTTAAAGCGAAAAAAGAAAAGAAAATAGCGAGAAGAAGAAACAATTGAATACTCTTAAAAACGCTCTACAGGGGAAAAAAACATTTAGGAGTAAAAAAAAATACGTTGTTAATGAACTTCAGTGAAACAAGTGAAAATTTGCAAATAAGCAAACAGGAACATGCTTGCCTTGAAAGAGTTGAGACTTGTGTATTACAATAAAGTACACGAGATGCGCAAATTTTATACAAAATTAGAAAGGGAAGAGTCCACTTGCGTTCCAACTCTCGCCCCAGTAGTTTATTTTGCTTCCTTTCCTTCTTCGCTCCGACCAACATATATATTATAGATATATATAGATATATAATGATATATATATATATATATATATATAATATATATATATGAGATAAACAGACAGAATATGAGATATAACAGACAGTATGCCAAGGAATGTACAGGGGAAGTTATTAGAACCAATGGAATGTACATAAGAAGAAAGAAAGTGGCTGAAAAAAGTTAACAGTTGGTAATTTTTTCATCCACTTTCTTTCTTCCTTATTACATTCCATTGGTTCTACTAAACTTTCCCTGTACATTCCTTGGCCTTACTGTCTGTTATATCTCATTAATATTGTGTTAAACACGGAAAAACGAAGCCCTTAGGTATACACTTCTTTCCCTTTATATATATATATTATATAATATATATATATATATATCTATATGATATATAATTATATATATATATATATCCTGATGCACAGCTCCGGAACGTGGTTAGGAGAAGCCAAAGAAAACCGTACCTCAAATCTCACGGCTGCTCTAGCCGTGGTTTGCGCGTTGGCGTATCCCGAGAGGGGCGCACCAGATGAGAGTGCGCCTTTTGTGATTCGGCCGCAGATAGTGCTCCATAGATATTGATTGCCGAACCGCCAAGGCCTGTTCAGTGCTCGCGCCTTCCAGTTTGCGTTTGTTGGAAATTACTTAAGCCGCTGCACTATGTGTCGTCTCGTTTGTTCGATTATGAACCCGATGACGGCTACACACAATGCATGCGTTCTGTACGTGTAGATGAACCAGAGATTATGCTTGCTCAGCGTATATAGCACGCGAAGAGACTGAACAGTACAGACCTATAGATACGCAAAGAAAAATAAAAAAAATAAAAAATGGAAAGAAAACGAAAGCAAGCAAGCAAGCAAGAAAGAAAGAACGAACTCCAAGCTGCACGCTCGACTGCTCGAACCGAAGGCAAACGGAACGAGAAAGACGATGGCCATTTTCAATGCACTATAGGTATTGCGACGATTATCTGGCTTATAGTGCAAGACCAACCACTTCGCCAGAGGCAAAAACGTACTTCCACGCGGCGTGGTCGCTCGCCAATCGAGACACGATCTCGTGTTGGGCTCCGTGTATCTCTTCGTTTTTGTATTCATCCGCCGTTCGTCCCCGCCGCTCAAATGCACCCGAAACAGGCTCCTGAATTACCCTTTTTTTCTATCTATTATTGTTTCTTTAAGTGGACGGCAGTTTTTTCCGACCTGTTGGCATCTCTCCCTAAAAGCTAAGTCGCAAGTATAGCACAGAGTATACTGTGTGTAGCACAGAGTATACTGTGTGTAACACAGTGTGTGTGTGTGTGTGTGTGTGTGTGTGTGTGTGTGTGTGTGTGTGTGTGTGTGTGTGTGTGTGTGTGTGTGTGTGTGTGTGTCCACTAAAAAGTGTGCTGATGTACTGCGGTCGCATATGTACATGCAAATGTTACGGATATGGCTGTTCTCGGACTCATGGTATGGTGAAGATTTCGCTGTCTTTCAGTGTTCTTGATTCAGTTACCATGTCCTTTTCTAAATGCGCCGAATTATTGGCGTTGCATTAATTGAGCAAGGCTGATTTCGTTAATAATTTGGTATTTTACCTGCTGATGTCCCCACCCGGTAGCTTATAGTCGCTGTAGCGTAAATCGAACTGTGAAAAACTAGGTCGCGGATGTGATTCCCGCCATCACAACAGCATAATTTAAATGAGGACGAAATGACAACAACAACAACAACAACAACAACAACAACAACAACAACAACAACAACAACTTACAGGGTCTCTAATGCATTTACCTCGGTTGACACGAAGCCAAAAGTCATCTTTTTCACTCTCATTAGATGTATTCAACCTGCCCCGCCTCTCTCCGAAGTCTTTCGGCACCTAACGTAGTTTTACACTGCCTCTAAGATTGGGGTACCTCGCCTGGTTTTTGCACTGCCTCCGTGATCGGCTCTCCTTCGAACAAGCTACGATGTCACGCGATGACGGCATGACAATGTTTCGCGATGATTGACGCCATGATGACGTCATACGGTGACGTCATTCCGTGATTTTTTTTTTTCATCACTTGTGTTGTACCCGACACCGCGGGACGCTGACGGCTGATTCGCGTTTGATGTGGCATCTAGCTTAGCCTTTCGGGTCCTTGAAAAGAAACCACGCTTCGTTTTCTCTCCCCTCCTCTTTTCCCCAGTGCAGGGTAGCCTGCCAGGCTTAACCCTGGTTAACCTCTGTGCCTTTCTCCTTATTTTCTCTTTCTCACTTGCCATCGGCCATACCATGCTGAATGCGCCGGTTCTCGTCTCTTTCTCACTCGGTGTCTCTTGGTTTCTCTCTCTTTTACTCCCCTCTCCCCCTCCCCACGTGTAGGGTAGCAAACTGGACGCATAGTCTAGTTAACCGCCCTACCTTTCCTTCATTCCTTCTCTCTCTCTTTAGGAGCGTGTTAGCGAAATTAGTATGGAACCGCCCACTATAATGACGTGCCTCGTGTTCACATCGTGGTTCTGGCACGTATGGAAACCCAGAAATCTTTTCTTTTTTTTCTATTTAATGGTTTCCCGTGTACTGTCTGTTATCCATGACTTCTTGCGTATGGCAGCTTGGGCTATTTGGTATGGCATGACGATAGTTATAGCGCGAGAACAAAACGACGACACAGAGACAAGTGTCTTTCGTGTCCTTCTTGTCTCTGTGTCGTCGTTTTGTTCTCGCGCTATAACTTCTTGCGTATGTAATGATATGCACGAATTCATTAAATAAATAAAGTTACTCTCGAGCGTTATTTTGCAAGCACGCGCTGTTACGTGAACTAAATGTATTCCTATCAATGCTATATCGCAGGCCACCAAGCCCATAATGGAAAAACGTCGCCGGGCCAGGATCAACCAGTGCCTGACCGAGCTCAAAGCGCTCATCCTGGACGCGCTCAACAAGGATGTGAGTGTCGCTCCGTTATTCCAGCAGAGCACCTGCTGAGCGTGCGTGCGTCACTTTGTTAAGGGACCGTTAACTGTTTGTGTTGCTATAGTCGAATACAGCTTATGAGGTCTGAAAATTTCCCGACCGGGATGACGATAACGTGCCAGCCGATCACCTCGGCGACCTAGGAAACAGTCGCTCTCATGCACTCGGTAAAGTTCTCCGGAGGTGGTTTCAGTGAACGTGCGGCTCATGAAGTTAATCTAGAGTGCGCTTCCATCTACGCAAGGCTTATATGCATTCGTTCTTGTGGAGAATATGTTGTGGGCTACTATCCTATTATAGTTAGTGAAACATATCTGTCAGACAAGCGGGGCTCAATTCCGACATTGGGTGATCAGAGATTAGTTGACACATAGTTCAACGTCGAATAAGCTCTGCGTATAGGCAAATATGTATACAGAATAAGACGCGAAAGTGTTCGGTTTCTCGTTCTGCGTATACTGTCTACTTAGCGCTGCTTTCACGACGAACGAACACCAACTATAGACTGCTTTGTTTCTCAATACTCGGTGTCTCTTGGTGGTTGCTGGTTTTGCTTGATCACGCCATTGATGCATTTTATAAGGAGAGGGAGTTAGATATTAGCATATTGATTCGTTTTGAAGGAGTTGGCCAGTTTCGCGTGACACGGCTATATCTTCGTCTTGTCCCTGCGCAGCCGTCACGACACTCGAAGCTGGAGAAAGCCGACATCCTGGAGATGACCGTGCGCCATTTACAGAATGTCCAGCGCCACCAACTGGCAGGTCAGTTGCTAAATTAGTGAAACCACAACTCTGTTTACTCTTTGCCTTGAGTTTGTATCGATCATTGCTGAATCCTACTACTTCGTTGTTGTAGCTAGAATCAGAAACGGTATACCTTATGAATTCGCAGTGCGACAAATGCCTGCAGCCACACCTGTATTATACAGAAGCAGTGACTGCCTTTCAGTGACACTATTACGGAACGCTTTGTGTCTGATCTTCGCATTGCATTCCTCTCCACAGCCGCCCTGTCCACGGACCCGGTAGTGATGAGCAAGTTCCGCGCCGGCTTTGCCGAGTGCGCCACCGAGGTCAGCCGTTACGTGACGCGGCTCGAAGGTGTTGAACCGTCATTGCGCCAGCGTCTAGTCGGCCACCTGACGACGTGCGTGAACGGCCTTAACGGCGCCTCGGCGGGTGGACCCGCGTCGCCCCTGGGAGGCGTCTCACCGGGTCTGCTAATCTCGCCGCTCAGCGTCCAGATCCCCAACCTGGGAGACCTCCATGGAGTCGCACCTTCCGGGCCGCTCGCCGCGGTCGGAGCTGGCGGAGCTCCTGGGCGCCTTCAGCTGGGTGGTCTTCCGCTCATCCCCAGCCGGCTGCCCAACTGGCGACTTGGCGTTCGTCTTGCCGACCGTCGCGGCGGCTACTTCTGGCGGCGGTGGTAGCGCTGCCGCATCGTCGAACAGCGCCGCTGCTGTGGGACCTGGTGGACTTCCACCGTCCTGGGGTCCCCCGACGCCGACGAACACGTCGACGCCGACGTCGCCGCACCCTCCTCGGTCCCCGAGTCCCGCGAGCAGTTTCGGCGGCAGTCCGCTGTGCAGCCCCATGGGCAGCGATGTCGGCAGCGAGGACGCCTCCTCGTGCGACGCCCAGTCGATGCTACAGAGGTCGCCCTCTTGCTTCTCGCCGCCACCCTCGGCGTCCCTCGACGACCTGGCTGCAATGCATCGTCCCCCCATTCTTCCGCGACGTCATCCTGCGAGGTCTCGAGGTCACCGCTGCGGCGACGCAGTGCCAGGATGAGATTCAACAGTCTCGGGAACATCTGCATCACGGGGAGGACGAAGACGACGAACATAGCGGTGCTGGTGACGACAGCGTCTGGAGGCCCTGGTAGTCGTGGGAAGTGCCCCCCCCCCTCCTTTTTTTTTGTACAGAACTATGTTGCTGTTTGTGCCGAAATAACATTGCGTTTGTTGAAAATGAGTTTTCTGGGATAGTTTGTAGAGTGCAACATCGACGCCATCGTTGGGCAAGAATGTGAGCAGTGGTTGGAGAAACTACTTTAAAAAAAGTAATGGAAGATACTTATTCGTTGGACGCAAAATGATCGATGCAGAAACGAGCAGCAAGACTCAAAGTGAGGTGGAATCATCCAGTCTTGTGATTCGAATTGTGTTATCTATCCCGCTGCATCAAAACCATTGACCTTTCGGTGAAAAACCGCCTTTTTCATTTTTCCCGTGTTGTCGTTGGTCGTTATGTTATGGTTATCCTCTAGACAGGGACAACCACTGTTGAAAGAACGAAGGTCTCTAAGACCAGGGAACGCTTCGCGATTCATACGCTAGGGGCACTGCGCACGCGCAATGGCATCGCGAAGAAAAATGTCTAACTGTCACGATCGTGGCCTCCTTTTATTTCATATGGTTCCGACTGCACATGTTGTAAAGCACTGCTTGTTTCTTGTTGCACGACTCGATCTCATCACAGCAACTATTTTTCTATTCGCGATGCTATTTTTTTGTACAAGTTGCTGTTACAAGTGGAGTACGATATATGTTTCCGTTTATACATGAAATATGCTGCGGCAACCACCACAGTGTGCCTTAATGCTGTACATACGTCTATCGAATTGCGCGAGCCTCGACGCTCGCTACTTTTTTTTTCTTTTCGTTTGTGTGTTTCCTCGAATCTCACTGTACCTTTTCTATCCGTTGACGTCATGGCTTCCTCTGTTAGACGTGATATGCATTTCGAACAACAGTGCCTTCGTGACGTGCGATATATCCCGGTTTTCGCCAGCTGTTTTCGCGAAATGGAGAAAGTCTTGAATGTACAATCCTTCTTCAGGTATTTCCTGAGCCATCGTGCAGGAGCTGTTCCTGATGGGCGGGGCTTCCGAAGCAGCACTCGCGCCGTCCTTATTTGGTAGAAAAAAGCGTAATTTCCAAATGATGACCTCCAAGATCGAAAGGGACGCGTGCCGATCTTGGAGTTCATGCTTTTATACTGCCCGAGTTCATGATATATAATCGGGTGTTGAGTGTTTGGGTGGCACTTCCGGATACCTAGCTTATTACTGCTTACGAGTAATGACATAACCGCGAGTTACTCCATAATTGCGTTAACGAGCTGCACTCTTGCAGCCGCTGATCTGAGAGAGGAAGGTACAATCATGATTGACTTTTTGTTCGAGAAAATGCTGGGCGGCTCTTCATGCGCAGCTAAATGTCAGTGTCGATAGTGTCTTTACCAAATAAATAGGTGCTCGGCACGCTCGTTAATTATGTACAGTTTAAAGAAGTATGTTGCTTGTATCTTCAACTGTTGTTTCCCTCTAACTAGAAGATTGTAAATGAAAACGGGACAATAAAGAGAAATTCTATACGTTAAGTTTTATGAAAGTATTAAACTTGCGGAATCAAAGGATTCCGTGAGGGGAGTGATTGAACACTATATACTCCATGTCAAAACTTATTTCAGTACATTTCTACGACGTTGCACATTACGTCGTGCCTCCTGCGGCATATTTACGAATAATAAAAATATTCTAGCTTCTCGTTCCGAGCCAAAATGCTATCAATGCGAAGATACCTGAAAAAAAGTGACGTCATGCTGAAGTAACAGAGTTGCGGAATGGACACTGCATTCAATCAAGCTTCGTCATGATTTCGTTCAGCAGGTGTCTTCGTTCAGCAGGTGTCTTCGTTCAGCAGGTGTCGGCGTTGAAAGAATACTTCAGTAGTACTTGCTGTAGCCCACTCTTACTTTTTATTGTGCCTGTTAAGTGCCCTTCGTTAATGGTGATTCTAGCATTTGATCTCACCTCACAGTTATTTGTTGTGGTGCAGTGCACGTTGACAAAACTAAAGGTCATGAAATGGCCTTTGTATATACCAGACAACGAATTAAAGAGAAATCCGTATTTTGCTAGATTCGGTTTACTACATTGTTGATTAATGTTAAAGGTCCCCTAAACCACCTAGAGGTCGATATTAAGTTGTGGTGGGGAAGTTGTGCACGAGTGTACCACGACAACGGGAGCCGTGAGAAGTTTTTCAGACGCGTTTGTTGTCGAAACATAGCGATCACCCCTTTCGCTCTTTCCTTCGCTACTCTCCCTTGGTACCCTCTCCCAAAGCCGCTTTGCCTTCTCGCCGAGCGCCCCTCCCAATAGGCACTGTGCCGTGCTCCCGACCGGGTTGCAGAAATTAGGTGCCTTTTCTCATCTTCTAACCACTATACCACCACCACCTCCCAATCTCACGCGGAGTTCCGTCATCGCCGGCGCGCTTATCGAAACACCGTCTACTTCCGGTGGCCGAGACTTCCCTCCGTCTACTTCCCTCCGTCAACTGGGTGCTTGTTGGCGAACCGCTGTTACCGTGGCGGCCCGTGCTAATACGACGATAGTTACAGCGCGAGAACAGAACGACGACACAGAGACAAGACCCCGCGTTACGGGCAGCAGTAGCTTATTCGCAAGTAGGCGCGCGTACTCGACAAGCCGAACAACAAGTAGCGCGGACAGTTGATTGCAGACCAACCGGAAGTCGTAGGCTCTTGCTCGACCAATCACAGCGTCAATGCGTCGCGCGTCAGAGATTCAAGTCTTCGTCGTCACGCGGATACCCGAAAGGCCCGGAGAGGAGGAGAGATTGTTTCTTGGAAGTTGTGGCGCGCCGGAGGCTTGTATAGCGCTGCCGCGTGTGCAATTGTTGATCGCGAGTGCATTCTGAACACGATGTGTGTTTTTACTTGACATATTTAAAAAAACATATATTGGAGGTGGTTTAGGGGCCCTTCAAGTATTGACTCTGATGCATGTTGCGAAACGTGCAAACTGTACATACAATTACCTCACCATTTTCAGCCTGCCGGCCAATGTTCGGCAGCTTGTTACGTGTACCGCGTACGCTGTCTTCCACTTTGCCAGTTGACTGTTCTGTACAGAAGCACGTGCCTTCGTCTCAATGCCTTGATCTCGAGAACTTGTATTATTATGAAATATACTACTGTCTTATTTTGCTCAAGTGCCAATAAAAATAAAGTATTTTTTTTCGACACGAACTGTGATTTCACTTTGTCACACCCCAATTACGACGCGCATTATGACCGACTGTCTGCGAGAGCTTGAACTTTAACGTAAATTCGATGCCGACGATCTGGAGACCAAAGGCAAAGCAAGGGAAGTATTAGAAGAAAAAATATTGCAGTGCATTTTACAGAAATTAATCGTAATAACGTAAATAATTTACTAATTAGAGCACAGTAAGTCTTTTCGTATTTCTTCACAAACCGAATTGAACGTCCCACTCACACTGCGATAGTCGTCTGCTGGCAGCGAGCATTGCTAAATCATAAAAAAAATACTTCGCAATTCATACCAAAACGCCCCGCGTCCAACGTCTCGTTAAATACGGTACTACATTCAACAAAGCGATTGTTCGCAGCAAAATATTTAAACCAGACGCGATACAAGAAAACTGCAGGCAACAAAAATGTTTAATTCACCATTAACCCAGTGGTCTCTTCCTCGCCAGCGGTGCACGGAAATGTCAAAAAAGTAAGTCGGGCCTCCAAATGACGTCGCGTTGCACAGGGATACCTGCATGTCCGGCAAAGGTTGCGAAAAGCTTATTATATAGCTTATGCCTAAAAACAGCGATGGTCTAGCGTTGGGCACGAGCAATTATGCAAGGTATAATTCGCAGGTGCATGCAGCAGCAGCAGCTTTGTGGCAGTGTGAGATAAGGATTTATTACGCTTTATCGCGTACTGGAAGACGTGACAATACCCACGCCACTCGTATGATCATACAAGAACTACTCAACAGAGCTGAAGAATCATAGGCGACATTTGAGACATCGTCTCTCTGGATGAGAACACAAGTGCGCATCCGAGATATAACGAATATTTTATTCCATTGCTCTACAGTCATAAAGAACGGGCGGTATGAGTAGGTCGGCGCACGTGAACAGGATTGGTAACAATATGACATAACCGAAATGCGAGAATGCACATGCTATTGTATGCAATCAACTGTTGATCATGTAAGAATGTCGAACGATATATGCATAAGACCTCAAGTTGGTCGAAGCTGCAGTCATCAGACACTCTGTATGCCGTAGAAATATGGTTCGATAGATTCCGATATGGAAACAGGTGGAAGCTATGAAAACATGTACTCCGTTTCAAACATCAGGTGCCGCTCTGTGGAAACTAGCGAGTCTTCTTGCAGTAAGGGCACGTTGGCACCAAGAAATAGTTCGATGATTTAACACCCGTAACGTAAATTTTTTTTATTGTTTTAGACAAAGTAATAAATGAAGATGACTTGTACATAAGAAATAAACGACGTTATTTACACGGTTGTTAATAGGCTGTTCTGGATTGCTTAACGTCCCTTAGTTTTCGTATCGTGGCCTCTGCGATTAGTTACGGTAGCACGCGCATGGAGCCAATCGCGAAGGTCACCTTCTTCAACGATGAAATCGAAGCACGAGACGCGCAGACTTGCACATTATACTCACCGAACTTTTTGCTTAGCTTACACAGTGTTGCATCTGTTGTATCAAACTCAGTATGCACTGCACAGTGCGCTCGCAGACATGCTTAAGCTATCTCGGAAGTTACGTGCACTAGTCAGTTGGTGCATGACGCTAAAGCGGAAACCGGTCAGGCAGGCGGCGGACGATGGAGTCGTGGTGTGTGTGTCTCACTTCTTTTCCTTGTGCGCCGTCTACTTGGCTGGTTGATGCAGTGTGTTCTTGAGAGCATACGTTCTCTGACGCCAGTGGATTGGAGTGTTATTCGGATAGACGGTACATAAATACGGTACCATTCCTCCTTTACCGCTTGTTGTTCTCTTGTCGCTCCCAGTTCCAGTCCACCGAGCGACAGATTCCTCTGAAGAAAAGGGCCGACCCCTAACTGTCTCTCCTTATGAGGACACCTCAACAGGCCGGCACAGGGATGGGGCTCGTTAACAGTGCGTAGGCTGAAAGGCAACAGTGAGGCGTGACAACCACGTAGAAGTTTCAAAAAAAAAAAAAATAGCCCATTAGTTTTGTTGGGGTGCTTTACGGTGCAACGATCGAGAAAAGAGGAGTGATATCGTTGTGCCGTATCGTATTTCCGTACCGTATCTCCGTAACTTGCTAAAGTACTCTTCAAGAACAGCTTTACTTCCTATAGCTGAATCCTAATCCACTCATCTCTCACTCTGCGCCAGTGGGCGGGGTGTGTGTGTGTACGCATGCGCGTCAGTACTTGCCGTGACACATAAAAATATGGTAGTAGATTTTCCTTGGGACTATCTCAGTAGAAATCAGTAGGTTTTAAATTTCAGTCTTTGCGCTTAGTTTGTGCATCGCAATTGCAGCGCTGATATTAGTAATCTACCGCATACAAAGAGTACTCTATAGCTTGTCGTGAAGTAGTAAAACTAATGACTTCGAGATAACTCCCGGAGGTGTTGAAGCTTTAGTTTTTCAGGTTGGGAAACAGACACGACGAGTCACCTTTCGAAGAAGCCGGGCAGATGAGGAGTTTGGCAGTGTCATTTGCAAGTAGGGGCGGGCACAGTATCTTTTGCCAGAGAAGATCATCTAATGGGAAGTACATGGTGAGCAATGGTAAGCCCTAACAGATCCTCTTCTTGGTAGAAGGTCTGGGAAGTACACAATAAAAATTAAGCGGGGACGAGGTGGTTGTGCACATCTTCACTCGCTCCCTGGATCTGCACCCGCAAGATTGTTTTACATAGTTGATGCTTCAATTTAATGCACGTTAAAGAGCCCCCGAAGATCAACCATTCTGAAGCCCTCCAATACGATGTCTCTGTTAATCATGTCGTAATTTCGGGATGTTAGGCACCAAAAATTATTACATTATGTTACGTCCATCGCCGATTCTTCGCATTACGTCATTGCGCACTTATTTTCCTTGGAATCATATACCGCGTAGCCCATGTCCCCCTCGTGTTGCGATGTTTCCCCATTGACTTTCACGCATAAAATCAATTTCGACCGTGAATTCACCCCTCCACATTGCAAGCAGGGTACTTCGGAGCCATAAAAGCTCTTCAGAAAGCACTGCCTGGATGTCACACTTCTGGGCAAGATCTGTTAATTTTGTATTCTCAGAAAAAGAGAGAACTGACAGAGGGAAAAAGCAGGCAAGTGAATCATGAAAAAAAAAATCATTTGTTCCAATGGTCGAGCAGTGGTCGAAGGCCGCTCGCTTGCAAATGCTCACACATGTGCAGTGAATCGTTGGCGAAATGTCAATGCAATTCCGAAAATCGGCCAGTGGCTTTCCTGCACGAGTGATTCACACCCGTAAACACTGGCTAACAGGCTCATTCAGCGCTCTAAGCATGTTGAGTACTTGCTCACCCTTACACTTTCCAGCGATGGCAGAGCCCTGCGGGATAATCACGGGGTATCACAGTGAAAAGGGTGAAACGACAAAAAGAGAAGGCGGGGACACCTGCTGATGGATGCACGAACGAATACACTTTATTTAAAGTCCGGCAGTTTTCCCCGGGCGAGGTGGGGGAAGAGAAGATAAGCAAAAGTTTTTTTTTTCAGCTACTCGGTTGTCGAAGCTATTCGTTTGGAAAATACACTCGCTCACGCATTGCCA